CGTCTCTGTTCCAATGCACAAGCTTAACAACTCACTTTCCCAAGATTCCAAAGTTTGCATGCCTGGATCCTGCAGCTTCCAGCCCTCATCTGCACTTCAACCCAAGGACCGTAGGGTGCAGTGGTGCAAGCATTGAAAGGGGCCTTAGATGTGTCTCTGTTCCAGTATGACTGGTTTAAATGATTGCTCCTCTTCTGCATGCCTTTAGGTGCTGCAGAAGCTTGTTAATCACCTGTTAATATACACCAGGTGTGTTGCAGCAAGGGGACACCTAAAACATGCGGTAGCAGGTTTGGGAACCACTGGTTCATGACACCAAGTGACTTAGCTGTCTCCACATATTGGATGGCCGGCCAAGGAATTATGTTCTGAGATTCCCTGTAGTCAGGATAGGATGAATGATACGCCGACAGATTTTTTTTTAGCGTCAGATAAAATTTACAATCTGAGCAGTCGCAGTTTTATGATCAGATGCCTTAAACACACCGACACACACACATTGCTATAAATGTCTCTCATGCTGACCTAATGTACCCCACAAGCCAAACACTGTTTGCGGTATAATGTTTAGGGTTTGCTATGAGGCGGACATTCCTCACGTTACAGCTTTAAAGAGCTGCTAAAATACTTCTATTAAAGCTTTACCGTCTTTTAAATGTTTAAGATGCAAAACTAGTTTGATGTTTACATCTTTTATTGATTTCAGATGGGGATTTATGACCAAGGTGATATAAACGACGTAGCTTCACAGAGCCATGTTTCGGCCCATGATGACTGCCAGCTGTACCCAGGTAATTGTCCTTCACACACTGCCTGACGGGTTTTCTACCAGTTTTTTTTTTTTTTTTCATGTTCTGATACTGAAACAGGGTACCTGCCCCAAAAAGATCTGGAGGCCGTAATCCATGCTTTTATTAATACAAGATTGGATTACTGTAACTCTTTATATGCTGGCTTGGACCGCTCACTTTTACACCGTCTGCAGTTGGTACAAAATGCAGCTGCCCGTCTCCTTACTGGCACATGAAAACGCAACCACATATCACCTGTTCTAGCCTCATTGCACTGGCTCCCAGTTGTTTTTAGGATAGATGTTAAAATTTTATTGTTTGTTTTTAAAGCTCTTAATGGTCTAGCCCCCCAATATTTGACTGAGCTTCTCCAAATTCACGCCCCGGCCAGAACACTAAGATCCTCTAATCAGCTGCTACTGGCGATGCCTAAAACCAGACTTAAAACCAAAGGTGATCGTGCCTTTATGGCACCGAGACTCTGGAATAACTTGCCTTGGCAGATTAGATCAGCAGGCTCCTTTGAGGTTTTTAAATCCTCTTTAAAATCACATTTTTTAAATCATGTCTAAGTGGCAAATTGGCAAAATTGTATTTTATTTTAAATTTTATTTTATTCTAAAATGTATTTTATTTGAAACATTTTCCATTTTTATCTGTTTATGTATTTTAGCCTTCAGTTTTTATCTTATGTTCCTTAACTGGGATTCCTGTACAGCACTTTGGTCAACCCCGGTTGTTTTAAATGTGCTTTATAAATAAAGTTTGAGTTGAAACAGGCTAAAGACTTCCTGTTTTAGGCAGTTGTGATTGTTGCTACCCGATCCATACCGGTAGCACGATCCGTACCAACAGCTCATTTGCGCCTGTTCGAACAGAATAACTTCCGGGTTGCCAAAAAATAATGTAATTACGGTACTGAAAAAACTTTATTTATATCCTTAAATAATTAAAGAATACTAAACTACATCGTAAAGACAATATTGAAGACTTTTCTGGAAGAAATGGATGCTTTTTAAATTCAATCCATTGTATTGCTTGACGTCATTTTTCTGGAATAAAAATCAAAATTTTCGGGAAATGTTCCCTTATCAATGAAAAACTGCAGGTCACGAAAGGTAGCAAATGAATCCATTGTGGGATCAGTACTGCTGGAGTGCATAGTTAAGTACAGAGTAAATCAAATATTTAAACAAATTTAAATATATACGCTGTGTGACGTATATTTGCGCATGCTCAGAGCAGTCAAAGTAACTATCACAAGGCGATTGAACTTTTTTATGTATTTCTGTTTTTTTATTTTTAGAAAATGCAATATTGACGAAAATACAAAGATATACAAAAAGAAACCCATGCCTCTAAAAAATACAAAACAATAAAAAAGTAAGAAAAAGGAAATATTGCCACCGGAAGTTATTCTGTTTGCGCACGCGCAAATGAGCTGATGCTACGGATCGTGCTTCCGGTACGGATCGGGTAATGACAGTGATTGCAGAGTTTTCACAGGGGTGGCCAGGCAGAAACCAATCAGCACTAAGGAAGGGGGGGTCCTGAAAACTTAAAGGTGCTGAATACAGTTCAGAGTCAACCTATACTGATCACATTGAACCAACTGGAAAATTCAAAGAACAACATTGATATAAGCCAGACCAGATTTTCGCAAGGCTCCTGCAAATTTAAAGCTATGCATATATTTATACATCAATGCTGTTTAAATTCAATTATGTTGCTTTAACAGAGCAATTGTTCTGTTAAAGGAAAGATCTGTGTTTCCGGATAGTTTTCCTGAAAAGAAATAACTCGGGACAAACTCTTTAAAATAGCACCTCATAATGTATATGTATTAAATAACCATGAGACATGACAACAGATTTTAATAGAAATTGTAGATCAGAGAAGTTGCTTAGAGTTACAGAAGGCAGCTGCTGACCAACCGCGCTCATTTAAAGGGAAGTGGCCACGATTCACAGTTAAAGAAGCATTTTATACATCTCCAGTCTGCTACAGCATCACATTTTACATCAGAAAGGTTTGCAGATTCATGGCTTCAGCCGTATCAAAATATTACACTTTGTTCTTAGCTGAAGGACGCCGCTCTCATTCCATTCCCAAATCTTTGACATGTAAAGAATAAAGATTATAACTGTATATGGCCACACCAAGGAACTGGCCTAATTAGATAAACTACTGGGGAAAACATTAGTTTTGACACGCAACAGGCAACTAATATTAAGGTGTAATAAACTCATACAATGATAATTACCCTAACATCCTTAAATTTAATTGCAAAGAAGCACCTAAAATGACCATTGAAGCATAAAATGAAATAAATATATTAATTTATTCATTTTTTAATTAATAAATAGTGCGTTTTACAATTTAATGGTATATTAATATGAATTATGAATTAATAAATGTTATACTACTCATTTGTTTTTCATAAGATCCTACAAAATATTTTTTCTTCCTTAATCTCATTTAGTGAAGAGGTGTTTAAACTGTTGTCTGTTCTTGCTGCTGTGTCGTAGTTATAGTGATGGGTCATGCTCATAACAAGTGTCAGCTATTAAACCTCTTAGGGAACTTTATTTTGACTGAGGGCATGGCAGACTTGTGGCCAATCACGTGTGGATATACGATACCATTTTGCAGAGAGGGGGAGAAGACGCCTCAGTGGATTTGTTTGCATCGAATTGTTCATTTGGAATAAAATATCACAAAAACCAAAACTCTTTTGTAATTGAACAAATGCATAAAATCTTACAAATATGATGTTTCCCATAAAAACACTGGAAGCAAAATGGTTTATTAACAAAATCATTCATATTTGCCAAATTAGGCTAAAATAAGATAATAATAAAAAAAAGAGCCGCCAAAAGAAAAGAGATAAACTTTCCGTTACTACTTAGTTTAACTTTAGATTTCTGAAAAACTTTTAAAAACAATCCACTGGACTTTGTTTCCAAGGTTTGAAGACGTTTCGCTTCCCATCCAGGAAGCTTTCTTAATTCAAAATGTCTGGATTCGCGTTGAGTTTGAGGCTTTATATAGTGGACCAAAAACAAGGCCTTGTATTGCTTGGAAACATGCAAAGTAAACCTGACGAGTGGGTCGTTTGGTTCCATTGTTAGCCTGTAATATCTGAAACCTGTCTATGATTCTGAGGGTCGGTCATTAAAGGGGGGGATTGTCACCTTGACAGGTTTCAGGTATTACAGGTGACAATCCCTAACCTGACTCCGCCAGATGGATTTGCTCCGCAAATCCATCTGGAAACCTTCCGTTGAAGTAATTTTGGGAAGGGGCGAAAATACTGGTTAGCTGATTGGCCTATGTTGGTGATAGACGGGCCAAATAAACCAATCAGATCAACGAAGCATATGACGTACTAACAGACGACGAAAACAAAACCACAAGCCAGGCTACTCTTGCCGAAACCAGTCGGGAGAAGAG